TGGTTTGGTCACATTAAATGTCGACCATCTGATGATCCGATTACAAGTGTAGATGTTTTAGATTCATCTTATGTTAAGAAAGGCAGAGTTAGACCTAGAAAGACTTGTGCTTATTGTATAAAAAAAGATCTTAATTTATTAGAGCTGAATGAAAATATGAGACTAAATAGGGCGCAATGGAAAAAAAGGATTCATGTAGCCGACCCCACGTAGTGGGATTAAAGCTTTGTTTTTGTTGTTGTAGTGTATAACAGTGTCCGATCGCGCCTGCTTATTCTATTATATTTTTCTCTTTCCTGTGCTTCTTTTTTGTGTTTATTTCGTTTGCAAACTAAAAATGTTTTGTTTCCTTAATTTTTTTCTGGGTAAAGCCTTTTTTTCACTCATTAAGCAATAAAAATTAAATTTTCTATCCAATTAATCATATAAAACTAAAACAACTTGAACAAAACAAATTTAAAACACATCGGGTTCAACTAATAAAACTAACTAGAGACCTTAGAAATATCATTTGCATTTGCATTTTGTTTTATTTATTAGTTTCTACATTTTGCATTTGTACTCATTGCAGATAAGTGGGCATCTAAGCAATGAGGATAATTACCCATTTGGGAAAAGACTCAAAAATATGATTGGCCTAAATTTAACTTTCAATGTAAGCATAGATGCATTAGCTGCACTTTTTGTCCTTCAAAATTAATTTATGTATATTTTAAAAAAAATTAAAAATTGTAAATTGTGCATTTGCTAAATGCATATTCACCCTAGTGGCTTGATTTTTAAGGTAGAGTGAGTGGTAATGAGTCTTTCTAAATTTAGCAACAATGTTACATATCCAACCGTGCATGTGATTGGGTTCACGACTTCAAAAGGAAGGTGAGTCAGCACATTGCTCTTTCTAGGTATGCTTGTAAGTCAGAAAGGTTGGGCTGGATTTCGCTCCTCGATGGTGTGAATCTATAAGGCCGACTTTGTCCCCTTAGACTAGCTTTGAGTTCTTTACCTGTATTGATAGTACTCACCTTATTTTAGGTTCTAATTTCTATTTGCTATATGGTAAGTTCTCACTTCCATTTCCACGATTGTGTCGTTGGTGTATAAGCACTAAATTTTTAATAAAATGAACAATAAAAATTAAAATCAATATCAATTTTTAAAATATAAAGTTCAACCATAAAAACATCTGAAGTATCATTGAGCTTCTCAATATCCGATACTTCCTATATTTCCCAATTTTGATTTCCACAAAAAACCACTCAAAATTTGATTCATTCCCAAATGAATTTCCTAAAATAGCAATCTTGAACCCAACTTTAAGAAATAGAAGAGTCATTGTTTTAATCAAGAATTTTCTAGGAGACGACTTCTTGTAAGATGCAATTAATTATAGAGGTTTTTCATTATAAAGAACATGTATCCAAGAATAAAATAAACAATGTCCTGCACAAACAGGGCAGGAAAAACTTCTAGCAATGTAGATCCTGAATTTTGAAATCATTATTTTGTGATTAGATTCATTAATGAATAGTATTTTTTGTCTCTCGAAGTGATATATTATTTTTGATGTCATACTAATCACAAGAAAAAATTAGAAATTTCAATGCTTAGGTGGTCCACAATCTAAATTGATCCAGGAGTTTAACAGGTGGGTAATATGGATTCGATGGCAGACATTAACAATATAGTATTAAAAAGTCTCCATACAAGACAACTCCACAAAAAACCAACAAAATTTTTATGTTACTAACATTCCTCTCAAGAAAACTACTACTAACATGTACAAAGGCCAGATCAACTCCAAGGTCTTAAATAAGATAATACAAACATGCACTAATTCTGGCAGATAGTATTCAATCGTCGATTCCAAACACTTAATTGAACATTGGAAAAAAAGAGAGAATTGTACAAAATTTACCTGGAGCTTGATTTCTATCGTTGTTTTCTTCTGTGATTCCTTCAGTTCTAGCGGAAACTCCGCCATCAGGACGCCTATCAGGACTTACCACGCCATTCGGAACGATTCTCTTCCCCCGGTCAAACAACCGATCCTCTTTCCAGCAGCCAAGTGCCCTTTCCTCTTCCCCTTGAACTCAACCCCCTTCACCAACATCCTCACGGAGAAAACCCTAACACCACCAATCTCACCTAGCACCATAATCCCCATGGACATCCCAATCGAGTATATCGGGAGATCGCAATCCACCACCGCGCACTTCACCAAATCTACGCTAACTATTTTATTATCTTCCCCCTCCTCTATCTTGGCAGCCATCACCCAGATTTGACTAGCGGCTGGCGCATGAACCACAAAGTAGTTGACCGTCCCGATGAGCCTCACACCGAAGCCATGCGCGAGGGGAAGGGTGGCAGGTTCCCTTTTCTTGTAAGTAAGGCGGACAGATGCGAAGCACGGAGGATTGAGGTCGAGGATCCAGGCGCGAAGAATAAGAGCGGCGCCGGCGTTCAGGGGAGAGACCGCGAAGAAGAGGACGCGGCTGATGGGGAGGAGGCGGAGAAAGGAGACGGCGGTGGAAGCGGGAGGGACCGCTGTAGGCGGCGGCGATGTGGAATATAGGGAGAAGGAGGGGAAGAGGAGATGAGAAGAGTCGGAGAGGGAGATGGCAAGGGAGTTGGAGGAGTGTTCGAAAAGGAGGGAGGAGATGGAGGGGGTAGAGGATGAGGTTTTAAGGAGGTCGAGCTTGGAAGCTTGAAACGGCATAACCGCCCGCTTCCTGTTTGATCTAATGCCGAGGCGAGATGCAGCACCGGGGCCGGAGTTGCATGAGCGCTGTCCGGCGGGACTGCGTTGAAAATTGAAAGCTCTAGCTGGGAAATGGTTATATATGTATATGGCTAAGGCAATAGTGAACAAAAAATGTAGTATTTTGAAGGGAAAGAAAAGATGGATGCATGAAGGTTTCATTTTGGCCCCTTTATATATTTATTTTTAAACTTTTTTGTTATGGCTTTTTTGAATATTTATAGATACAAATGTATTTACAAATAGGGAAATTTACATAAATATCTCAATTGTTATGTATTTATGTATGTAACACCCCTATAGTCAAATTTATATTTATAGCTTAGGTACAATAAATCTACGCATGAAAAAAGTAAGTTCTTTAATGAATTTAATTTGTGTATTAACATACATCTAATATATTTAATAAAATTATGAGTGGATTTTTTTGGAGTTTCAAATCATTATCTTGTATTTAAATAAATGGCAATTTTACAATTTTTTTTTCTATGTATTATTTGATAGTAATTAAATGGGTGTTACTTTTCAAATGATAAAAATATATTCAAATATTTGATTAATTATAAGTGGAGCACAAAACTAATTATAAATAAATAGTGTTAAGGTCAGATAAAATTTCACGTAGGAACCATAGAATATTTAGCCCAAGACTTGTATATCCATTAGATTCTGCAACCACAATCTTAGAACCAAAGTCCATTTCATCTGATCTAGTCAAATAATAAATTAAGTACTTAATATACTGAAAATACAATTTTTTTCTTCTAAAAAAATCCATAGAAAAGTTAGTTTAATATTACAACTCTTTGTTTTTAATTTAGTTCTTTCGTTTGTATAATAATTAAGAAAGTTTAGTACGATTTTAAAATAGTTATATTAAAAAAAAATTTTGATTCGTTGCAATTAAATTTAGAAGTAAGCTTTGACTTTTTATCCCTAATAAAAACTTGAAGTGGACTAATATGTTATATTTTTTTTTAGTTGAATCTCCCCTTTTTTTTATTACTCCATATTATTTCTTTGGTGGTCTACTTAATTAATTAAACTACCGCTTCTCTCATTGAGATTTCATACAGCTCGACACTTCCAACAATCCTTTTCTATCATCCCTTCTAATGTTGATATAAAAAAGAGTTTGAAATTTCATTTTTAGGTTACATTATATTAATTCCTTCAACTCCTAGTAGCCTCATACTATCATTATGATCGCAAAAGAAGAGATAAATCGAAAACCTAGGTTTGAGCATGAGGGTCGAACACAAAATTAAAACCATTAAAAATGAACTTTTAACTAGCTTAGAAGGTTGAAATAGAAATTAAAGTTGTGCTCAAACCAACTTCAATCACACACAGTTTGAACAAAATCCAAGTTTAGTTGGAATATTATTTGAAACTTCAAAATATGGGTTGAATAGTGTTCAAAATATATATTATAAGTTTAAATCTAGTCTGAACTTTGATTTCAAAGCTAGTGTACAAACATTGTCTCTGAAATAGAAATTAGAAATTTGGTCTGAACTAGATTTAAACTTATTCAAACCACATACTGTATTGTTGAATCCTTTTTGGACGTAGGGTTCTTTATCGTACGTGGGCTCACAAAATTTGAGGAAGACTTGTAAATGAAGGAAGGATGTTGAAGAAAGGAAATATGAAAGTCCACTCTCCAATCCTTAACTCCTAGTTTCTAAATAGGTGAAAGGAGAAGATTTAAAAGATGACTAAAAAGTGGGGATTATCCTCTTAAATGTGTGTTGACCTCATTTGAGATATGTGTCTTCCTCTAGAGCTTAGGATCTAGTCATAATATTTTTATGTTGAATCTCCTAGAAGATTGGTGGTGGGACTCACCCCAACTAGAAATTCAAACCACTTCTCAACTTCTTGTAGTCTCATATGTGTGGTCTTAAATCCTCAACACTTTGGGTCTATTTGGGGTAGTTACGACTTATTAATAAGCTGATGATAAGCTGCTTAAAAATAATTTGTTGTTTAAAAGTTTAAAATATTTCTTTTTGGAAAGTCAGACCACAACTAGAAAGCTACCACTGCACCTAGTCAGGAACGGTGTGAGAACATTGATTTCAACAGTTTAAAAACACAGCTTTTTGAATAAGCTGCCAAACACAGTTTACCCAAACGGTCCTAAGTGTGTTTTCAAAATGCACCGCACCAAATAACCTGCCCAAAACGGGGGCCTTAGTTTGTTTGATTAGGACCAACACATTGAAACTCAAGATCAATTCCTATAATAAAGAAGGATGTCATAGGGAGACCTTTTGTGACTTAGGGATTTTACCTACACAACATCAAATATACTAACACACAAAATTACACCACATGCACATCCACACATATCACTTCATCATCACAACTAAAATTACACATTACTCCTACTCTCACACACACCACTACTAAATGAAAAGCCAAAACCAATTTTCAAAATTGAATTCCCCATTGTAAATTTAAAATCCAACAAAACCACCAAGTCCACAAAATCTACCAAAACCACTAAACCCACCAAATCCACCAAATCTATCAAGACAACCAAAACCACCAAATACACCAAGACAACCAAACCCACCAAATCCAACAAGTTCACCAAGCCCATCACCATTTTAAAAGCCCAAAACCAACCCACCATAACCAATTTTAAAAGCCCATCAAAACCAAGTCCAAGTCCAAATTATATTAAAATGAAAGGCTCTTATGACAAAGTTAGACCCTCCCCTCATCACATTATGATTTAATCAAACATAAGATGGATGTTCACATGATTAAAATGACTAAATTTAAGCTCATGAAAAAAAGCAGTTATTCTTCCATTGTTCAACCCATTCTCAAACCGATTACTTCTAGTTCTTTCTAGTTGGGCACAATTTTATAGAGTTGCATATTGCTTCTCTTCTCTATTGTATTAGATTTGATTCTTTCTTGCTCCAGTAAGCTAGATCCACTTTCTGCATTCACGGATCTTGGTATTCAAAAGGCTTTTCATGTGGTTGCTTCAATCCAAATTCTCATCATCTTCGTCAGCAAATACAATTGAGGGTTAACCGTAATGGGACACAGATCACGGTGCCAACAAGCTAATCTAGAAAATGATTGCATGAATTATTTGGGATGCATGGATATGGCATCCTACCAACTCTCTGAACTCTTCTCTTCTCTTATGCCTAATATCTGCCCGTTATATTGCGTGAGACATTCTACATTTTGTAACTTATTATGGACTTCCTCAAATGAAGTTGGATTTCATTGTGCATCTTTCTTTTTGGTTTCTAATTATGAGATCACTTCTACTAAAGAATTGAATGTTATAAGAGTCAGAGGCGACGAAAATTTGGGAGACTACAGCTTTTTGTCTGTAATATGGCATATGAAGTGATAATTTGCTCATTTTTCTAATTAATGTTGGCACTCTTAAGCTTTGTCCGTGGAAAAGAATGAACAAATATTCCTACTCAATCTTCTTCTCATATTATTTGTTCTCAAGTGAAAAAGGATTGGAGGAGGAAGATTTACTCTCTTTATCAATCAGTTATTACTGATAAGTCCACGTACATGGACTTGCGTCCTTCTAAAATTCTTGAAAGGGAGCCTGATCCAGAGCGACACCATTTTGGCTGTGAACTTTGAATCTCATCAAGGTTTTCCAACAAAGACAGAAAAAGAAGCTACCAGTTTCTTATGCTCCGCTGTCAAGGAGTAGTCATGAATTTGTTGCGATGACAACTCAAGAAAGTTTATAGAGGAAGCTTGCGCATCATATGTTTTCAAAACTTGTAATGTACAACTCAGTGGAACCATCTTTAGTGACATCCCTTATTATGCTTCATCAAAAATGTGAAGATAGGAATGTATTGTGCTTTGTTATTATGAATTGGCTATAATTTTGGCGAATGATGTCACATAAGGCACAAATGCACCCGGTGGAATCCCTGCTCCAAATTGGGATGTACTTGCTGATATTGATACATTAGGAGGTGTCACTATAGCAGATGTTGAGCCAAGAATTGTGGGGCAACTTAGTGTTGATGCTTTAAATCCATATATTGAATTTCATGCTAGAAGGAATGATGCTTTGACAGCTCTCAGTTGTGCTTCATCAAGCATTTCAGATATATTAGACAAGTTGTATGAAATTGTTTTTGGAATTCTAGGAAAGGTTGGAGGTGCCAAGCAAAAAAGAAAGAAAGGCATCTTTAATAGGCCATTAATTGGTAGTTAAACACGACGAATGGTTTTTAGTTCTCACTGTTCTGGGAGATTAAATGGAGTTATGGAGGTGTTTAGATTTAAGTGAAAACATTCATAATGTGGAGATTTTATATGAATCATCAAGCGAGACTATAAGTGGAAAGTGTCGGGGATAAGGGCAATGGTGCAAAAGGCATCTAGTGCTAAAATTGGGATAGCAGGATAATGTTATATCTCCTAACTAGATGACTTTGTGAGGGTTTAGGATGGTGATACTATTCACCAACATTGGGTAAAAAGTTGCCCTTACTTTCTTAGGCTGCTGGTGGCTCTAATCCAACAGTGTGACTAACTTATAGACAATCTGATTTACATAATATACAATAATAAAATTTTTTCCTTGTGGAATCAATGTTTTGGCTGCTAAGTTAAAACCTAATTTATTTATATGCATGACAAATTAAGAAATCTTTGGGTGTTACCTTCTGAATGTCTACTTGTTGGTTACTTTATTAGGCTAAGAACTACCCTCTTTCGATTGTCTTATTGGTTATTTTTACCCGAGGTTGGACTTTATAAAGCACATATGCTGATGGTTGCCTACAAATGTCACTTGAAAAGTATTATCAGGGCCACAGGTTCTGAAGATGAGCCCATCCCTAATGTAAATTATTAAACCCAACTCCGATCTTTCAAATATAATTGCATTTTCTTTTTTCTAAAATAACATCAGAGGTGGCAGGTACATAATAGCGCTTTCTTTTTTTATTGTACTTGGCTGCATATGTCTTCTTTATATGTTATAATTTTGTTATTCACTAAACTTCTGACATGTGGAAAAGACCCTAGGTTGGTGGATCTAGGACACATGCTTAGGTTGAAAAATTGTAAATATGTGATCATTTTCTTATGAAAGGCCTTAGG